GGGGGCTCGGCTTCTGCTGGGGGTGGCGCAAAGAAGCAGAAACTACTTAGGCGGTTGCTACGCCGTTCATGGTTTTAATTTGACAAGAAAACTTGTGCAATTGCATGGAACATTTATCTTATTTCTGCAAAATTTTGCTTTCTGCTATGAATAACAAACAGGCTGGAAGGCAGAGCCCTCCCGCACCGCCCCGCCGCCTCCTCCCGCGCCCACCCGAGCCCCGTCCGGCGGAGGGCGGCCTGGGTCCTGTTGCCTCCTCCCGCGCCCACCCCGGGTGCTGGCTGGCCTCCAGGGGGGACCCCCAACCCTGGCTCCCGCTTGGAGCTTCAGCACCGCAATCACTGCCTCTAGTTGGGGTGCAGTCTAGAAGATGGGGTACAGCTGGCCCTGCGGTCAGCCAGTGCCGTGGCCGCCCCCTCTGCCCCCGCAGGGACAGGTCCCCAGAGGAGGCCGGGCTGGGGCCGGTCGGCCTGCCCTGTGTGTGCGCGCTGCGGCCCCGGCCAGTGACCACGGCAGAGGCGGGGGCTGTCCGCGCGCGCCAGGGTCCCCTGCACTGGGGGACTCGGCCCTGCCTGGTGGGCGGTGGGCGGTGCCCCCCGAGGGTCACCGAGCCAGGGGTCCAGTCGGGGTCCCTGCAGAGGGGCGGGCCCCGCACCCTCGGGGCGGGACAGCGGTGCCCTGACCCAGGCAGCAGGAGAGCCCTGGGGGCGGGGGGGGCCGTCGGCCGCCCACGGTGGTCTGGGGTCGCGGTGTGTCCTGGCGGCGGCCACCCCCACCTCGGCTCCCTGAGCCAGCCCCGCTCGGGGGCGCGCGAGAGCCCAGGTCCCGGCGCCCCCCGTGGGGGCCCAGAAGCACGTGGCTTGCATGGGGGCGACAGGGACCCCCTACCTGGCGTTGGCTGCCGACGCCCCCCATGCCGGAGCTGGCCTGTCCGCTGCGCCTCGGGGCTGCCCCTGGGCGGCAGGGTGAGCCCGTGGCCCCGAGCGGACCCCAGCCCTGCACCGACCCCCTCGCTGGGGGCGCACCCGGGCCCGTGGGGAGCAGGAGCAGACCAGAGGGGCGCGAGGGCACCGGCAGGCGGCCTACGGAGGAGGAAGTGGGGCGCGCTGGGAGGTGGGGGCAGCGGTCCAGGCGGGGTGCGGGCGGCTGCAGACACCGACCTGGCCGCCAGGACGCTGCTCGAGGCCGGCGGCCCCCAGGCTGGACACCAGCCCCCCGCGCGCCGCTGCTTCGTGCTGGCCACCTGGGTCACGGCCGCCCAGCCGCCCAGCGCCCTCCCCGCGTCCCCACCGTGCTGGGGCCAGAGTGAGGTGCCGCCCCCTTGGGGGTGCTGGGGGGCGGGGTGCCCCAGGGCGCCCTGCCAGGCCCCCACGCCCTAAGGGAACAGGCTGACGTCCAGTGGGGCCGCTCAGACAGGCCGGGAGCAAGGAGCAGCGCTGCCCCTGGGGCCGCGCGTGGGGGGCCCTAACCCAGCCCCCTGCTCCCCGGGGGGGCTGCGCTGCCTGGGGCTGCCCCACCCCGTCGCCACTGGCCCCGGCGTGGGGGCACCTGGGCTGGGCGATCCTGTCCAGCAGTGCCGCAGCATGGGGTGCCGCCTGCTGGCCGCTGGCCCCGCTCCGGAGGACAGTGTCCACGCCCTGGGGCCGGGCTGCCGGCGTGGCCTCCCTGGGCGGCACCCGGG